ATTAATAAGAATAATATATTTTTTACATAAAATTACTATTAAATCCCAGCATTTTTGATACAAAAACAGCAACAAGCCTAAATAAAACTGTCAGAGCAACACAGAGAAAAAGAAGAGACACACATACATCTTGCTATCTTTGTGAGGACTTCACACACAACGCTCACAGCATCTCTGCCTCAGTCTGCTGCTCCCGTTTTTAACACCAGGCAAAAAATGAATTTAAAACAGCTGACGTTAACTTTTAGATTACAGTTTGAAATGTACACWGAAGAGAACCAGCATCACGACTGCAGTCACAGTAAACGTGATGTGAGCAGCGTCTGGTTCACATGATGGTGGACGGCTGCGCTCGCTAAAACGTTCAGCGARAAAAGACCGAAAGCTTTTATTTTCATCTAGCAGGGAGAACAATAGAGGTGTTTTTCTATGCCTCATGTGAGCAGTTCCAGCATTTTTAAAAAGAAAAACAACGCGGACACGCTGATTACAGTGCGGTGCGAAAGTGAAAGTAAAATGTGTCGCAGCACTCCCGTCAGGAAAAGAAACTTAAACACAGCKGTTCTCTCTTCCCTGATATTCCGACACAGAGGGTAGAAACAGTTAAATTAGACAGTTAAAACACATTTATAGTTCATAACTCACCCTTGTTGTTAGCACTGTGTTTCACAACATTAGYTGCTGCGCTCTCCCCGGGGGAAGGGGCAGACACATGCGCTTGCGTGACCYAAAGAATGGATCGGCCTAACGGACAGCATATCGGCCAATACCGATACAAGGAAAAAACGCAAATATCGGCCAAAAATATCGGCCAGCCKATGTATCGGTCGACCCCTAGTTCCCAGGCTAGCCGAGAAACATAGTCCCTTCCGTGTTTCCTAGGTCTTCCTTTGGGTCTCCTCCCAGTGGGATGTGCCCAGAACACCTCACCAGGGAGGCGTCCAGGAGGCATCCTAACCAGATGCCTGAACCACCTCAATTGGCTCCTCTCGACGTGGAGGAGCAGTGGCTCTACTCTGAGTCCCTCCTGGATGACTGAGCTTCTCACCCTATCTCTAAGGGAAAGCCCAGACACCCTGCAGAGGAAACTCATTTCAGCTGCTTTTATCTGCAATCCGCAGTATCTGCAGTAAATTGAGAGCTTCACCTTTTGGCTCAGCTCTCGCTTCGCCTTTTGGCTTCACCACAACAGATCGGTACAGTGCCCACTTCACTGCAGATGCAGCAACAATCCGCCTGTCGATCTCCTGCTCCATTCTTCCCTCATTTGTGAACAAGACTCCGAGATACTTAAACTCCTCCACTTGGAGCAGGGCCTCCTCCCCAACCCAGAGGCRGCACCCTAGCCTTTTCYGGCCCAAGACTATGGTCTCGGATTTGGAGGCACTGACCCTCATCCCGACCCCTTCACACTTGACTGTGAACCGCTCCAGTGAGAGCTGGAGATCACGATCTGATGACGCCAATAGGACCACATCATCCRCAAAAAGCGGGGGTGAACTCCCATGCACCCTCCAGGACCCTGCTGAGGGTGTAGAACTGGTCCAGTGTTCCACGACCAGGACAAAAACCACACTAMTCTTTCTGAATTGGGTTTTCARCAATGTGATGGACCCTCCTCTCCAGGACCCCTGAATAGACCTTACTARCGAGGCTTAGAAGTGTGATCCCCCTATAGTTGGAACACACTCTGCGGTTCCCWTTTTAAATAGGGGGACCACCACCCCGGTCTGCCAATCCAGGGGAACTGACCCCAATGTCCATGCAATATTGTAGAGTCACGTCAACCAATGCAACCCCACAACATCCAGAGCCTTAGGGAACTCTGGGCAAATCTCATGCCACCCCCCAACCCTCCCAGTGCCTTGCCACTGAGGAGCTTTTTAATCTCCTCGGTGACCTCGGCACCAAAGATTGGAAAGTCCAACCCAGAGTTCCCAGACTCTGCTTGCTCATGGGAAGATGACCCAAGTTAAGGTTAGCAGCGCACCATCGCCACCATAGMCAGTGTTGGTGGTGAACCACTTTCCCCCGCCGAGATGCCGGATGGTGGATCAAAATCGCCTCAAATCTGTATGGWAGTCTTTTTCCGTGGCCTCTCCAAACTCCTCCCATGCCCAAGTTTGACCTCGGCGACCACCCGAGCTGTAATCTGCTTGGACTGTTGATACCTATCAGTTGCTTCCAGAGTCTCACAGGCTAAAAAGACTTGATAGGACTCCTTCTTCAGCCTGAGAGCATCTCTCACCGTCTGTGTCCACCAGCRGGTGTGAGGGTTGCTGCCGCAACAGGCACGACAACCTTAAGGCCACAGCTCWGGTATGCCGCATCAACTGTGGAAGCACGGAACATGGCCCACTCGGAYTCAATGTCCCCAACCTCCCCCGGAACRTGTTCAAAGTTCTCTTGGAGGTGTGAGTTGAAGCTCAGTCTGACAGGAGACCCTCCCAGTGTTTCCCAGCAGACCCTCACTATACTGTACGTTTGAGTCTGCCAGGTCTGACCGGCATCCACCCCCCACCATTGGAGCCATTTCACCGCCAGGTAGTGGTCAGATGACAGCTCCGCCCCTCTCTTCACCCGAGTGTCCAATTCATGCAGCCACAGATGACATGAGACGACATCAAAGTTGATCATCGAACTGTGGCCTAGGGTGTCCTGGTGCCAAGAGCACATATTGACACCCTTATGTTTGAACATGTTGTTCGTTATGGACAATCCTTGAGAAGCACAGAAGTCAGGGCAATAAGTATGCCCACTCCTGCTCGGCGCTTCTCAACTCCAGAGTGGAAAATGTGTCCAACCCGTCTCGAGGAGACTGGTTCTAGAGCCAGAGCGGTGCACCAAGAGTAGTCCAATTATATCTACTTGGAGCTCTCAACCTCACACAACAGCTCAGGCTCCCTCCCCACCAGAGAGGTGACATTCCCCGTCCCTAGGTCCAGCTTCTGTAGGCAAGKATTGAACCGCCAGGGACTTCGCCTTCGACCACAGCCCATTCCACATTGCACCTGACCCCTATGTTCCYTCCCACAGGTAGTGAGCCCATGGGAATGGGGACTCACGTCTCCTCTTCGGGCTGTGCCTGGCCGGGCTCCATGGACGAAAGCCCGGCCACCTGGCACTCCCCAACGTGCCCCGCCTCCAGGCCTGGCTCCATAGTGGGGCCCCGGTGACCCATGTCTGGGCAAGGGAACACTCAGTTCATTCTTGGAACTCATCGTAGGTGTCTTTGGTCTGCGCTTTGTCTGATCCCTCATCTAGGACCTGTTTTACTTCGGTGACCCTACCGGGGGCATGAAGCCCTTGACAACATAGCTCCTAGGATCATTGCGACACTCAAACCTCTCCACCATGATAAGGTGGCAGCCCTGGGAGAGTYTGATAATCACCCATTCCTTCAAATTAGATGTGTTGGAGCAGAGAAACAAGTAAAACATGCAGGGCTGTGGCCCTTGATTCCCTTACGTGTTGGCCCAGACACAAATTGTGTTAAGTTTACGGAATCAGTAATGTTCAAAAAGTCTTTAACCAGACATTTGTCATAAAATAAAATATAGAATGTAATATTTACAGTAAGATATGTACAGTGGTTTGCAA